TATATATATATATATATATATGGGTGCTGCATCATTATTTTTCTTATTATGCTTAAAATAACGATGCAAACAACAGAATGATTCAATTCGTGGAATGGACAAATATCTCATCACATATGCCGTCTGATCTTTTCATTCAAAATGTACATATATCGTGCTATTATTTCTTTTATAAATATAGATACACTGGTCTGAATGAAAAGTTCAACGTGGATCTGCACACAACACAGAACGTGTTGCGTATTATTCTGTATTTTTCTCAGAACTTTTAGTTTAGAAAAAAAAAAGAGAGAATTGGTAACTTTTTTAATACTAATATTAAAAACACGTATTATTATTATTCGTATGTATTATGAAAATCTTTTAATTTGCTACGTGTTGTTACGTTGGAAGGATCAGATAGCAAAGATATCAAAGATAAGATATAAAAAACGATAATTTTCCGCAAATATAAAATTCGCATGTAAGGTTTTTATAGAAATATAGTAATTCCTAGTGCACGAAACATTTACATAAAAAGGAAAAAAGAAAATTGTAAAAGAAATCGGAAATATACGATTACATAAAAAGAAATATTACGCGAAAAATTAATTCGTGTTGAAGTTATTTAAAAAAAAGATACGAGTTCTTCAGTGCGTTTAATTAACGTTTAATTTTATTATTTTTTTAACTGATTCAATGAGTATTAACGACGCTTGTAATTGATGATTCTAGTATTCGTTATGGAGTTAATTGCATGATATAACATCGTATTGGAATAAATAGAAAACAAAATTTGTTCGTTCAATTTAACACCGGTAGAAACGCACAAAGAAAGATATTTGAAATATATGAAATAAATTGAAATATAATAAATGGAATAAATCTTATAAATTTTTGTTAAAAACCTCTTTTACTTAATGAGATATGATAGACAGTTTCAACGAAATCTTAAATAGCATTAAAAAACTATAAAGAATAATTTTTCAACTATTCAATTCAAGAAATACATAATTTAAACATATTTTAAGAATGTTAAAAGACTATAGAAAAGGAATGAAACCATGTATATATTTTTTATAACTATATTTTATGAATATTCATATATAATTTATATGCTTTTTTGTTATCGCTATTGCAGTATTTTTTTCATATTTCTTTGTCATTAAAAAATTGATAATAAATTCGCAATAATAAATTGGCAATAAATGTATTACAAATATACAATATAATAAATACCAAAAGAATATAGTCGTTACATAAAGAAGATACAAACGTATTTATAGTTTGAAAAAATTAAAAAACAAAATTAAAAATTAAAAGTTATTACAAAATATTTATTAAAATATTTCACTTTGTACTTATATTAAATACATAAAATATAAAATACATAATAAGATATCTGTTTCGTAGATATAATTACAAAACTCCAATCTATCATAATGATTGACTCAAGTATTGGTATAATCGGTAAGAGGAAGTTTCGTCAGTGCAATGATATATGAAAGATTTAATTATAGAACTTCAAATTCTATTTTGTTAAACAAAAATCATGTTCATGTTAATTTTAATGAATTTTATACATACATCGCTGTGTTCGTATTTTTATTATTATATATAGTTTAATTTTAGTGATACAATCACCTAATTTTTAATACAATTATTTTCTTCTGCTTGCGATAGTTATTAGCTTACTTGTTGATTGTATGTATTAACCATGTTTGAAAATTGTGAATGTGCTTTTTCTTTGTAATTTTACATCGTTTAAAGACTGAAGTTTAATTATTAACGTTTAAGTTTCTTAAGTATAAAAAAAAATGATGCGAGAAAAATTGCCTTTTGATATATATGTATATA